CCAGTGTCCCTGATCGCCCGTGTCCCTGATCGCAAGTGTCCCTGATCACAAGTGTCCCTGATCGCCAGTGTCCCTGATCGCCAGTGTCCCTGATCGTCAGTGTCCCTGATCGCCAGTGTCCCTGATCGCCAGTGTCCCTGATCGTCCGTGTGCCTGATCGCCAGTGTCCCTGATCGTCAGTGTCCCTGATCGTCAGTGTCCCAGATCGTCCCAGTGTCCCCTGATCACAAGCGTCCCTGATCACAAGCGTTCCTGATCGTCAGTGTCTCTGATCACAAGCGTCCCTGATCACAAGCGTCCCTGATCACAAGCGTCCCTGATCGTCAGTGTCCCTGATCGTCAGTGTCCCTGATCACAAGCGTCCCTGATCGTCAGTGTCCCTGATCACAAGCGTCCCTGATCACAAGCATCCCTGATCACAAGCGTCCCTGATCGTCAGTGTCCCTGATCGTCAGTGTCCCTGATCACAAGCGTCCCTGATCGTCAGTGTCCCTGATCACAAGCGTCCCTGATCACAAGCGTCCCTGATCATCCCTGATCACAAGCGTCCCTGATCGTCAGTGTCCCTGATCGTCAGTGTCCCTGATCGTCAGCGTCCCTGATCGCCACACAGCGGCCCAGCTGTGTCCCTGATCACTGCATAGCGTCCCAGTGTCCCTGATCTCCACACCAGCAGGTCTTGATCACCTCCACACTACCAGGTCCTGATCATCATACCACCAAGTCTTGATCACCGCCACACATGCAGGTCCCAATCACAGCTATACCAGCGGGTCCTGATCGCCGCCACACTAGCAGATCCTGATCACAGCCATACCAGCAGGTCCTGATCACCACCCCAGCAGATCCTGATCACCACCAAACTAGTGGGTCCCGATCCCCGCCATACCAGCGGGTTCTGATCGCCGCCACATCATTGGATCCTGATCGCTGCCAAACCCACGGGTCCTGATCACCACCATACCAGTCCTGATCACCTGAGAGCCATTACAGCAAACTGTGAGTACTTTTTGGTCTTTGCACACAGTTTACACACACACTCACAAAACATTGCCTGCCAGCTCACGGTATCTCTGATCACACATTTGGTATCGCCATATTCAGGAAGAGTTATAGAATGTGTTTTGGGGTGTAATTTTAAGTATGCCTATGTTGTATAATAGAAATATCTCATAGATTGACAACTTTGCGTAGAAAAAAAAACATTTTCATTTTCTTTTCACATTTTCCAAAAACTTTTGGCAAAAAATGCAGTCTTCAGAAGACTCCACATGACTCTTAAAATATACCTTGGGGTGTTTGCTTTCCAAAATGGGGTCATTTTGTGGGTAATTCCATTGTCCTGATGCTCCAGGACCTCTAAAATGGCATTAGGTAGTCAAGAAATTAGATGTGTCATTTTTTCCCCTAGAACTCCAAAAGGTGCTTATTGGATGTGGAGCCCCCCTATGTGGCCAGACTGTGAAAAAGTCTCACACATTTGGTTTCGCCATATTCAGAAAGAGTTATAGAATGTGTTTTGGTGTGCAATTTTAAGTATGCCTATGCTGTGTAATAGATACAGTGGGGATCGAAAGTTTGGGCACCCCAGCTAAAAATTTGTATTAATGTGCATAAAGAAGCCAAGGAAAGATGGAAAAATCTCCAAAAGGCATCAAATTATAGATTAGACATTCTTATAATATGTCAACAAAATTTAGATTTTATTTCCATCATTTACACTTTCAAAATAACAGAAAACCAAAAAATGGCGTCTGCAAAAGTTTGGGCACCCTGCAGAATTTATAGTATGCACTGCCTCCTTTGGCAAGTATCACAGCTTGTAAACGCTTTTTGTAGCCAGCCAAGAGTCTTTCAATTCTTGTTTGAGGTATCTTTTGCCCATTCTTCCTTACAAACGTCTTCCAGTTCTTTGAGATTTCTGGGCTGTCTGTCACGCACTGCTCTTTTAAGGTCTATCCATAGATTTTCAATTACAGTATGTTGAGGTCAGGAGATTGTGAAGGCCATGGCAAAACCTTCAGTTTACGCCATTGATGTAATCCCCCATGGATTTCAAGGTGTGTTTAGGATCATTATCCATTTGTAGAAGCCATCCTCTCTTTAACTTCAGCTTTTTCACAGATGGCATCAAGTTACCATCCAAAATTTGCTGAAATTTTATTGAATCCATTTTTCCTTCTACTTGTGAGATGTTCCCTGTGCCACTGGCTGCAACACAACCCCAAAGCATGATTGATCCAACCCCATGCTTAACAGTTGGACAGAGGTTCTTTTCATTAAATTCTGTGCCCCTTCTTCTCAAACGTACCTTTGCTCATTCCGGCCAAAAAGTTCAATTTTAACCTCATCGGTTCACAGAACTTGTTTCCAAAATGCATCAGGCTTGTCTATATGTTCATTTGCAAAGTTCAAACAATGATTTTTGTGGTGAGGACGTAGAAGAGGTTTTCTTTTGATGACTCTTCCATGAAGACCATATTTGTACAAGTATCTCTTTATAGTGGAATAGTGTACCACAACTCCATTGTCTGCCTGATCTTTCTGGAGGGATCGTGCAGTAAAACGTGGGTTTTGAATTGTTTTTCTCACAATCCTGCGAGCTGTTCTGTCTGATATTTTTCTTGGTCTTCCAGATGTTGCTTTAACTTCCACTGTTCCTGATGACTGCCATTTCTTAATTACATTCCGAACAGAGGATATTGACATCTGAAAAAACGCTTTGCTATCTTCTTATAGCCTTCTCCAGCTTTGTGAGCGTCAACTATTTTCAGTTTCAGTTTTCTAGACAACTGCTTAGAAGAACCCATGGTGCTGATTGTTGGGGCAAGGTCAGATGAGTCTGGGCATTTAAAACCTTTGAGATTGACATCACCTGATCTTCCCAGACGATGATTGAGAACAATCCATGACACTGGCAGGTCTCAGCTTTGCAAAGGGGGCAGTGCATGCTATAAATTCTGCAGGGTGCCCAAACTTTTGCAGACGCCATTTTTTTGTTTTCTGTTATTTTGAAAGTGTAAATGATGGAAATAAAATCTAACTTTTGTTGACATATTATAAGAATGTCTAATCTGTAATTTGATGCCTTTTGGAGCTTTTTCCATCTTTCCTTGGCTTCTTTATGCACATTAATACAAATTTTTAGCTGGGGTGCCCAAACTTTCGATCCCCACTGTATATCTCATAGACTGGCAACTTTGCATAGAAAAAAATACATTTTCATCTTCTTTTCACATTTTCCAAAAACGTTTGGCAAAAAATGCAGTCTTCAGAAGACTCCACATGACTCTTAAAACATACCTTGGGGTGTTTTCTTTCCAAAATGGGGTCATTTTGTGGGTAATTCCTTTGTCCTGGTGCTCCAGGACCTCCAAAACTGTGATAGACAGATCAAGAAATTAGATGTGTAATTTTTGCCCCTAGAACGCCTAAGGGTGCTTATTGGATGTGGGGCCCTTCTATGTGGCTAGGCTGTGAAAAAGTTTCACACATTTGGTATCACCATACTCAGGAAGAGTAGCAGAATGTGTTTTGGGGTGTAACTGCAAGTATGCCTATGCCGTGTGAGAGAAAGAACTTGTTAAAATGACAACTTTGTGAAAAAAAAATTAAAATTATTTACTTTCATCATTTCCCCTTAAAAAATTTGCAAAAAATTACAACTTCAAAAAACTCTCCTTGTCTTTCATTAAATACCTCAGACTGTCTACTTTCCAAAAAGGGGTCATTTGGGGGGTATTTGTATTGTCCTGGCATTTTAGGGCCCTGAGAAACTATATAGGTAGTCAGTACATTAGGATTGAAAAATTTTCAAATATATCAAATATATATACCGTGGTCTGTGGACTCTATAACTTTAATACAGACTAAATAATACAAACTGATTTGGGTTATTTCTACCAAACAAAGGTAGCACAATGGATTTTGGCCTAAATTAATGAAGAAAGTATATTTATTTGCAAAATCTAGTAACAAAAACGAAGAAAAACATGTTTATTTTCAAAATTTTCAGTCTTTTTCCACTTTTCTAGAAAAAAAATAAAACCCCCAGTGGTGATTAAATACCACCAAATGAAAGCTCTATTTGTGTGAAAAAAAATGATAAAAATTTCATTTGGATACAGTGTCGTATGCCTGAGTAACTGGCATTCACAATGTGAGAGCACTGAAAGCTGAAAATTAGCCTGGTCAGGAAGGGGGTAAAAGTGTCCGGTCTGGAAGTGGTTAACTCCCAATTGCGCGGTCATGCAATGCTGCACCCATATGAAATTTACGTCCCACGAATAGAGCTTTCCCACGATTAGAGCTTTCATTCGGTGGTATTTGATCACCTGTGCTTTTTAATTTTTTGCTCTATAAAAAAAAGTGACAATTTTGAGAAAAAAAACTATTTTTGACTTTTTGCTATTAAACATGTCCAGTAAAAACATTTTAAAAATTAAAATTTCCTCATAAATTTAGGGCAAAATGTATTCTGCAACATGTTTTTGCTAAAAAAAAATCCCAATATGTGTAAATTAATTGGTTTTCGTGAAAGTTATAGCGTTTACAAATGGTGGTATAGATACTGGGATTTTTTTTTTTTTTCACTAATAATGGCGGCAATCAGCAACTTGTAGCGGGACTGCGGCAGGCATTCTGACACTGGGGGGAACTGACTTGGTGTCACTGACTTTCCCAGTGACACCAATACAGTGATCGGTGCTAAAAAAAAAAAGCACTGACATTGTAATAATGGCACTGGGCAGGAAGAGGTTAACATGAGGGGTGTGTGTTGGTGCTTCACTGTAAGCACACTGCTCTGGATGGCTGTGCTGTGCACAGTCATGCAGAGCAGTGTGCCCGACCCGGCAGGGAGGAGGACTGTTAGTAAACAAAGCAGCCCTCCTCCCCATCAGAGATCCTTGGTAATCTCTGGGCGCTGGTGGGTAATCACTGGCCGGGACCCAGTGATTGACAGCTGTGGCTGCGAATGGCGGCATGGGTAGGGCGCGCACATGCCCCCTACCCACAAATGCAAAATCACATACCGTATTTTTCGCTCCATGAGACGCACTTTTATATGTCCTGTATTTCCACCGTGTCAGAATACCGGGACGGCCACTCAGCTCTTCTCTGCAGCAGGACCTTACCTGTTCCTCGGTCCAGTGCTGTAGTCTTCCCGCACCGGCATCTTTAGTGTGGGCACCCGGCTGTGACAGCTGGGTGCCCACTGCGCATGTGTGATAAGCACTGCGCTTTGTGAATGGCCCGGCATCTTCTGGGACTCATGACAGGTCCCAGAAGACGCCGGGCCATTCACAAAGCGCAGCGCTTCTCGCGTATGCCGGGTGCCCACACTAAAGGGAGGACAACTCCGTGGAAGTGGGAGCAGGTACCTGTCAAATTCAGGTACCCACTCTCCCTCCCTCCTCAAAGGTCCGTATCCCCTGTACTGTCTGCAGTCTCTGTACTGTCATCTCCTGTACTGTCCGCATCTCTGTCATCCCCTGTACTGTCCGCAGTCTCTGGTCATCCCCTGTACTGTCCGCAGTCTCTGGTCATCATCTCCTGTACTATGTCCGCAGTCTCTGGTCATCCCTGTGTATCCCTGTCTCTGGTCATGTCCCGCAGTCTCTGGTCATCCCCTGTACTGTCCGCAGTCTCTGTCCCCCTGCAGTCTCTGGTCATCCCCTGTACTGTCCGCAGTCTCTGGTCATCCCCTGTACTGTCCGCAGTCTCTGGTCATGTACTGTCCGCAGTCTCTGGTCATCCCTGTACTGTCCGTCCATCCCCTGCAGTCTCTCTGGTCATCCCCTGTACTGTCCGCAGTCTCTGTACTGTACTGTCCGCAGTCTCTGGTCATCCCCTGTACTGTCCGCAGTCTCTGGTCATCCCCTGTACTGTCCGCAGTCTCTTGGTCATCCCCTGGTCCGCAGTCCCCTGTCCGCAGTCTCTTGGTCATCCCTGTACTGTCCGCAGTCTCTTGGTCATCCCCTGTACTGTCCGCAGTCTCTTGGTCATCCCCTGTACTGTCCGCTGTCTCTTGGTCACTCCCCTGTACTGTACGTCCGCAGTCTCTTGGTCATCCCTGTACTGTCCGCAGTCTCTGGTCATCTCCTGTACTATGTCCGCAGTCTCCATCTCCTGTACTGTCCGCATCTCCTGTCTCTCTGGTCATCCCCTGTACTATGTCCGCAGTCTCTGGTCATCTCCTGTCTATGTCCGCAGTCTCTGGTCATCTCCTGTACTATGTCCGCAGTCTCTCTGGTCATCTCCTGTACTGTCCGCAGTCTCTGGTCATCCCCTGTACTGTCCGCAGTCTCTGGTCATCTCCTTACTGTCCGCACTCTCTGGTCATCCCACTGTCCGCTCTCTTGTCATCCCCCTGTACTCTGTCCGCCGCCGTCTCTGGTCATCTCCTGTACTATGTCCGCAGTCTCTGGTCATCTCCTGTACTGTCCGCAGTCTCTGGTCCGCATCTCTCCTGTACTGTCCGCAGTCTCTGGTCATCTCCTGTACTATGTCTCTGGTCATCTCCTGTACTGTCCGCAGTCTCTGGTCATCTCCCTGTACTATGTCCGCAGTCTCTGGTCATCTCCCTGTACTGTCCGCCGTCTCTCTCTGGTCATCCCCTGTACTGTCCGCCGTCTCTTGGTCATCCCCTGTACTGTCCGCCGTCTCTTGGTCCCCTGTATCCCCTGTACTGTCCGCCGTCTCTTGGTCATCCCCTGTACTGTCCCCTGTCATCCCCTGTACTGTCCGCCGTCTCTTGGTCATCCCCTGTACTGTCCCCGTCTCTTGGTCTGTCCCCTGTACTGTCCGCCGTCTCTTGGTCATCCCCTGTACTGTCCGTCTCTTGTCATCCCCTGTACTGGTCATCTCCCCTGTACTGTCCGCCGTCTCTTGGTCATCCCCCTGTACTGTCCGCCGTCTCTTGGTCATCCCCTGTACTGTCCGCCGTCTCTTGGTCATCCCCTGTACTGTCCGCAGTCTCTTGGTCATCCCCTGTACTGTCCGCAGTCTCTGGTCATCTCCTGTACTATGTCCGCAGTCTCTGGTCATCTCCTGTACTATGTCCGCAGTCTCTGGTCATCTCCTGTACTATGTCCGCAGTCTCTGGTCATCTCCTGTACTGTGTCCGCAGTCTCTGGTCATGTCCTGTACTATGTCCGCAGTCTCTGGTCATCTCCTGTACTATGTCCGCAGTCTCTTGTCATCTCCTGTACTATGTCCGTGATCATCTCCTGTACTGTTTGCAGTCTCTGATCATCTCCTGTACTGTTTGCAGTCTCTGATCATCTCCTGTACTATGTCTGCAGTCCATTGGTTTAGAATATTTTTTTCTTGTTTTTCACATCTAAAACCTAGGTGCGTCTTATGTTCAGGTGCGTCTTATGGGCGAACAATACGGTATATACGTGATGGCCTGGTCAGGAAAAAATGGCTGGTCAGGAAGGGGGGTAAATCCTCAGGAGGCAAGTGGTTAAATAACAAACAGATTTTTACTTACCTGTTTGTGCAATGGAATTGCACAGAGAGTCCCCAAAGCTCCTTTTCTCAGGTCCCCTGCTGGCGCTCCTGGCCCCTCCTCTCTTGTGAGTGCCCCCATAGGAAGCTGCTTCCTATGGGGGCACTCGTGCGGGCTCACTCCCGAGTCTCGCTGGCTGTGTCTATATCCAAAGAACAAAGGTATATCGCTCTGGCAAACAATCCAAATCAACCCACGACAGGTGCAGGCTCTGGCTCGCCACCACACACGATGCAATAGGAAGAAGGGACAGCCGTACACCGGAGGATTGATGAATATAGTGTGTATTTATTAATCCATAGGACACACAAAACACCAGGACATGAATACAGGACCTGCTAACGCGTTTCACACAATCTTGTGCTTAATCATAACCAGTGATTATAACTAAGCATGAGATCCTGTGAAACACAGCTATGTCTATAGACAGAGACAATGGGACTCGGCCCTGCCTCACGCTTCCTTGTCATTGAATGTGATTGACAGCATCAGGAGCCAATGGCTCCCGCTGCCTTAGCAAAGTCAGTAAGTGAGGGGAAAGAAGAGCTGTAGATGAGATGACCTAAACCTTAATGTAAGGAATGCATTAAGTTAAAAAATGTTTAGGCTTTGTAACTACTTTAAATGAAGGAATATGGTGGAACAGCGATTAGAATGGACTTGACAGTATTATGCCAAAATTATGCTCAAAGTATACAGTAATAGCCAGATGACAATCACTGAGCACCCATGTAGCTAAGTAGTATGACTTGTGACTTAGGTTCCATTAACACTTTTGTGTTTTAATGCACACATACTGTAGCAATGTGCTAAAATGCACGTGTCCCAATTTCCCTATTGTGAAAATAGTGCCTGTTCCCATCACTGTGCTGCAGTGCAGTATGTTTTGAAAAATGACATGTCCATATTTCCTGTGTTTTGGTGAGTTGGAAGGTCCATAGGTATTAACAGCAATGCATGTTACATGCATTTTTGATGTGATGGCAACAGGTTTTATTAAGCTTTGATGAATGACTGTTGTATTCACTCCAAATCCTATATTCGAAAAATGCATTGGAAATGCATCTCAGCATGCATCAGTAATTCCTGTCAACGCATTTTGATGCATGAAACGGACCTGCCTAACTAAACAAAAAAATGCATGAAGGTAAAAAAGCCTTGAGCCTTTACAACCACTTTAAACTTTTCTTTCAGTGACACTTGAACAATAGAAATTTTCTAACATACTTGACATTTTTGAAGACACCTAATGCTCATTTCTTGCTTTTTAAAGTGAAACTCCAGTTTCTCTAAAAATCATATCGGCCTTTCTTCTTTCTTCTTCTTTCTGTGCCGGCCTCAAGCACCAATGTTGCTCAGATCCCAGTACTTTCAAAGCAAGCAGTTCTTTGATCAAATGTTCTGCTCTTGATTTAAAATTTTAATATCAAAGGATATTTATTTTCCTCGCAACCACTTGGCAGCTTAGAAACTGACCTATTACTCTTAAAGGAAGATACCTTCGTCCATTCAGAATTCCTTTAGTTGAATTCTGTACTGAGAGAAATATGATATGTAGTCAGTCATTGCTTTTTTCCTTTTAAAAGTGCTACTTACCCGGTTGGCTCTGGCTTCTATACCTTCAAGTCATTGACCCAGAACACGTACACAGGCTTGGACAGCCAGAGTGAAATCAGGACGACATACATGTTCTAATTTCAAGAGCTTTCTCAAGCTGCAAAAGTGTGACATAGGTTTTAACCCTTCTCCAGTGCTAACAAGATTCCACTTAATTCCTGAGCCAGAGATACAATGAGAAGTGAAGTGAAATCTCATCAGTATGAACACAAACAGTAATACTGTACTAATCTAGTAAGGTTCTACATCTTACCCATTCTATCTAAAACTAAAGTTAGGTTAAGTCATCTCTAGAGTGTACACATAGAAAACTAGACATACTTGCCTTTTTTGGTTTCTATTACAAATATTAAAGCCCCACTCAAGTCAAAAATTAAATTTAAATAGTGCATTGTGCATCAATTACCTTACTCCTCAGTCTTGATTCCAAACACCTCTTCCCAAGCCATCCTGTATTGTAATGGATCAAGTCACTGCTTACTCTACAATCCAATCACATTTCCTGCGCTGGGTACCAGACATTTTTCCCTCCAGCATACTTTACCTAACCTACATACCTACATTTCCAATTTTTGCCTTTTATCAGTATGTTTTTCCCCTAGCTTCCTTTACAGCTGCGGAAACACTGGGGCTCATTTTTGCAGGTTCTGGATCAGCTACAGCTTTGTCCCCGGCCCAGCCAGGAAGAATATTGGCTTCTGGACACTGGACTGTGCGTTAGGCACATGGGGCACAGCATGCTCTACAGGTCTAGCGCCTGTCTGGGGGAACTCTGTCCCTGTAGACCCCTTAAGGGTATACCCACCAGAAGAGCAAAGACTGTTCAGAAGGGGTATGTTCCCTTGGATCCTGCCTGGCATTCTTACGCCTATGTACATTTGGGGGCTATAGTGCACTC